GCCGAAAGCCCAGGAAGATGCCTCACTAACAAAGCAATCCCCAATGTCCGGATCGGATGTGAAAACCACTTTACTTGAATCACCGAATAAGAGAGCGCTTCACTAATTCTGTTGGTGTCATGTTGGACCACAGAGCAAATGATTTCAGTTCGAATTCCCTTCATGGTGTTTGGAACTTTGATTTTTTAGGACGTTTTAAAGGCTTTCCACCTTTTCGGTTAGGCCCTATCGTTAAATTACTAGTGCCTGCATCAGAGATAACCTTGCAATTGTGAACAACGTATTAAATCTGTACTAAGAATTGTTGCGAATACCGATTTGAATTTAGGCTTACCATATCCTTTTTAAGTTTATTACGTTTAAAACATGCTCACTATTAAATAATACCGTACCATGTGGAGGTCCAGATTTCGAAAATAATACTATGCTTACTTTTGTTAAGAAGTGGTGTCTAATTGGTAGATGAAACCAATATGTCAGCCTCACAGAATAGTATGACATGTAATACATTGCTAGGGTTTTTCTATGTGTTTTTACATAATTGTTTCTGCACCAGAAGGTATGGGTTTTTTTTTAGACGGAGAGGAAGAATATCCCGAGCAAGGGCATTTTAGTAAAGAAGGACTTGTAAAGGATAGCAACTGCTTAAAACCCCTTTAACATTGGGCATTCTTCAGATAAAAATGATATTTACATTGTAATAGCAAAAATCCATGCTCTACACACATGTTCTATGCGTTTTATGACTAGTATTACCCTTTTAGACTCTAGAAAGGTCAAAAATGTTCCCAGTTTCCTTGGAAGCAAACGATGCAAAAAGTCGATTAAGTGCTAAAACATTTATAGCCGGGTACCCCTTCCCACCATGGTGAACTGGGGAAAATTAGTGTAAAGGTGTAAAGTGCCTATCTAAGGACACAATGTTGAGGTCCTGAGGGAGTTCGAACCTATGACCTTTCAATGACGGGTCAGACAGCATAATCACAAGACCACCGACGCCATGAAATCATTGCTCAGAGGCTAGAGTGCTTCAACGCCTTCAATTTGGTAGCGTACATCTGAAAAAAAAACCCACTGAAGAATAACATAAGCTGAATACAGTAGGTTCTTGAGGTCGACGGGTTATCACCTCCATGAGGTATGTGAGCTCAGGTCTTTTGCAACCAACACGAGGAAGAAGTGAGATTCAGGACAACACTGTTGTCCTTTTTCTTACCCCCTCCACCCTCCCCTTCTCTCTCTCTCTCTCTCTCTCTCTCTCTCTCTCTCTCTCTCTCTCTCTCTCTCTCTCTCTCTCTCTTTCTCTCTCTATCTCTCTGTCTTTCTCTGGGTCTCTGTCTGTCTGTCTGTCTGTCTGTCTGTCTGTCTGTCTGTCTGTCTGTCTCTCTCTCTCTCTCTCTCTCTCTCTCTCTCTCTCTCTCTCTCTCTCTCCTATCCATCTCTCTTTGTATGAGTATGTGTGTGTGTGTGTGTGTGTGTGTGTGTGTGTGTTTGCGTGTGTGTGTGAGTGTATCTGTTTCTCTGTCTGAGATCGGTAACATGTGAGTGTGTATGTGGGGGAGGGGTTGGGAGGGGGTGTGGCGAACGTTACAATAAAAAAGGAGGCTAGTGATTATGTTGTGGGTTGGTGAACTGGTTACAAAAAAATATACAAATTGGTACAAAGAGTCTGGCTGTGCTTGTCGTTATAACACCCACATGTTGTGAACAATGACAACGACATTCAGGTGGGGCAAAGTGAATACGGTCCTCCGTACAGTTCAACAGCATCAATAAGAAAGAGTAAAACCGCATGTTTGATCGAAAAGTAAATTTGTAACCTTAATTACTTCTTAATTTTTCCTTCTCTACTTCTCTACACATGTTCCTTCTTTTTAACAGTACCGCACTTGCTATTATGAAATAAAGCTTCCAACACAACTATGAAAAGACGGTCAACATTTCCCATTGCTTCCGCAGAGTAACTCTGCACAGAGCCCCCAGTGCAGCAGGGGTATGAGTCAGTAAGCTTGATGATGCAAACTCATGTGATTCTTTTCACTACCAGTAACGTGACAGTGTATTTTCATTCTGGCGTTGTACAGGGTGGGGCATAAAGACCTCCCATTTTGTAGAGGATGCTGTGTTGACTTCAGTAGAAGTGGATAGGCAGGGAGGTGTCATTTGGAAAACAAAAAAATTCACCATCATCATATTCCTCCTTAATTAATTTCTAAATATAAACGTTCTTTTATTTTAAGGCTCCACCAATCAATATGATTTCTGTGTATTTTAAAACACGTCATGAATTTAAACTGAGACCATCATGATTCAATTCTTAAAGTTGCTCTGCAACGGCATCTAGTTCTAGATCGATCTGCCTGAAACAGTTTTTAAAAATCAGTAAAATTAACTAGTTTTTAAAAAAGTAGATATCACAGACGTGGTTTTATTCTGGGTAGTAGTGTAGTTATTTAAACTATACATTCAAAATGTGCTAGATCTTATACCGTCACTAGAAAAAAACCCAATGACATTTCTCAAATAAAAGGTTCAAGTGCAACTGGGATTTTCGATTTTTTCCCTCTTTTCTGTGGTTTCTAAAGAATGCAAGAAGATGTATGAGCAAACTGGGCGGGGGTTTCCGCGGAGAATGTTTAGGTCTAACAAAAGGTCGACAGATTTCCCGCTAACAGGAAGTAGGTGTGTGTGTATGTGTGTCAAGCCGGTTACGAATGCGGAGGTGGATTGTGGATAAGACGCCAAGTGTTCGACACACAGAGAGTGAGTAGTGAGGTAGTGGGACATGCAACCAAGTAAATGTTACTGGTAGCAGTAATCTCAATTTCAAATTCAAGTGCTCTGTCTGTTTCTACCTCTTACATGCACACGTGGTTCTCCATTAATTTCTTTACTCGGACGTTTTCAACAGATTTGTTTCATTACTCTAGTCTTTCCCTACATGAAACCTGGAGAAGAGTCACAGAAATTGATATACAGAAAAGTGGCAAGACAATTATATCAGGAGACTAACCCATGACAGAGAAAAGTGGAAAGTGTTTGTTCGTGGCCAATACTCTGATCCATCCAGAGTGAGAAAGACAATGATGATAATGATGGTCTTTCCTCGTCACCCATCTGTTCCTGTTTTCCAAATAAGTGGCTGTGGATCTATCCCTGCCTCGTTTGCCTTACGCAAAACTTATGCTGAGTACAAAAGGCCAGGGCAATAAAAGTTAAGGTAACTAGTTGCTTGTAACCTGGTGAGCTCCAATACAGAATGAGCGCCACATTGTGCACGTGAGTGAGTGGCGGCGTCAACGCTTCACGGAGCACTGTGTTCAACTCTGAAGCTGGTCTATTTCGTCTCTTGTCGTCTTTCATTCGTCTCTCTTCCCTTTTCGTGTGTCTAGATTAGCGCCCTTTTCAACACTATAAGGTTATGTAAGTGATGGAACCTCCGAATTGTAACGTTCATTACGGATAGAACCAAGCCATATGGGTGGAGAGCCTGAAATCCTCTCCAAAACAACCCAAGCTCAAGAGTGCCATTTTTGGATTCGAACCAAGGACTTCCGCGCCGCTGTCTAGCGTGACGCCAACTGAGCTTATGAAGCGCCGTCTCTTCTCCTTCCATAGTATTCGAAGACTATGGTCTAAAATTGTGTACTGATACAGAAACTGTGTAACATAATGTTAAAAAGACCACAGACTTGTACTGATGTTTTATAGACTAAGCCCCATTCTTCCAATCTAAATTACATTTTTTCTCAACTGTGCAAAGCTTGTGCGTCTATAGACGATGTTGGTTCACATAACACATGCGTGATGACTGATTACAATCACTTATATCACGTATTTGTGAGAGAGGCCTTTCTGTTTTGTAGAAATAAGCCCACCAGGCTACCTGGAGCATAAAAGCTTTCGAAAATGTAAAGCGGCATTTATTGCAGAGTTTTTCCTATAGTTATCGCTTTTCCGCTCCTTCCTGGTCTCATTTAAATTCTTCGAATAATTCTGTCTTTCGCAAGAGCCTTCGTAAATTTATGTTTCCTTAAATCTGTGCAAAAGAACCCCCTA